TCCATGGCGGGGGGCAGGGCGCCAGCGCCGGCGCGCGCGGGGCGTAGGACGAGGAGAGGGAGAGAGTGCGGGCGCGAGCGCTCGAGTGTGCCACGCGCTGTAGCTGCCGCTCCAAATACACCGCGCGCCCAACCCGTTATCACGCGCGCGCCGTTTTTGCGTGCCCGCTGGAGCGAGCCGCCGCGTTGCGCGCGCGCTAAAAAGGCCTATTTTGCGGCGCGGCGCTAGTTTAGCGCGGCTGTTGGAGATGCTCTTACGAAAGGGAATGGCGTATCGGATTACACGGCAATTGAAACCAGCCCAGCCGTACCAAAAGCTGGTAACGTCTTCGCTAAGCGGTGTAATCGGGAGACGGTGGAAAACTGTCGAACCAAACGCGTCGATAAATCTTTCGTATAGGTAAATCCCGAACGTTCGGAATTTAAACATGTCATCCCAAACGTTTTTTGATGGCAACTTTAGTTGCTACAAGGTGGCAACTTTAGTTGTTAAACACACGGCAATTTCGTTTCAGTTTGATTTTTTGTCAGAAAATTGCCAGGTTTGTCAACATCGTCTTAACTAAAGTTGTCATGAAAAGAGTTTGGATTAGCATGCTTAAATTCCGAACGTTCGGAATGTATTTCTTGCACATTAGTATGCACCATGAACTTCTGCATGTGATGATACAAGACACCATTCATGTGGAATCGGTTGCATGAGCAGTCATATGAGCTAGCAATTGGGTCGACAATAACCATATGAATTTTCTTGGAACTAGGATCATTACGCCGTAGCTCAAACTGAAACAGATTATCTTCTACCGGATTTATAGTCAAAGATGTTGTTTCCTCCATCATCTCCTTGAACTTGGCAAACTATAATGCTTCTACATACAAAACATGAACACGGATGCTACAAGAACATGACATAGCTGAAACAACAGAACAAGGACATTCAGAGCTTCTACCATGCATTTTCAGTGCATCGCAAATCTACACAGAGTGCTTCTACATCCAGGCCACGAACACGGATGCTAGAAGCACATGACATAGCTGAACCTACAGAACATGGACAATCAGAGCTTCTACCAAGCATGACCGGTGAGTCACAAATCTACACATAATGCTTCCATCGAATTATTATAACAAAATTCATATAACTATCCCAATAATCACACGGTCTTGCTGCCTAATGGAGAAATATCCATTCAACATTAACTAGCATCAAACGGAGCCCGATTCTCGTCAAAATCACCCAAAAATGAAACCACAGGTACAGTCTTCAATTTACATCTTCACCTCCATTGACAAAACTGGGGAATTTTTGAACTGCCGATTAAACCCACCAGAAGAATTTCCTCCTTCGGAACTCAAGCCAGGCTGCAGTATCTCCTCCTGCTTCCGAACTGATGCCAGACCTGGACCACCGGAATCATGATGACGATCTGCAATAGGGATCCCGATACTCATTCTCAAGCATCAGGTGTGCCATTTTTGCATAAACTAGACAAAAGCATCTGTACTAGGAAACATGCTCAGATGGAGGAGGAAGGAACGGCTCGAGGGAGAGAACCCCGATAGTGGAGGGCGTTGGTTGCAGGAGAAGCCCATGCAATTAGCGATCCTAAACATCCTCCCGCTTGGGTCCAAGGAAGCAGATTGGACGCCCCTAATTCTTCTGATCCGATGGTGCATGACTAGTCTGATGGATGCATACCAATGCCTAGCAGCGCCCAAGAAGAATCACCAGAACCAAGCGATGGCATTCACTTCAGCAGATTCGCTTCTTTTTTTCTTTTACGCTGGAAACCAACTTTCCATTACTAAGCCCGCACAGCAAGATCGCTGGCGACAATAGCTGACACAAAGTCCGGGGCTTGCTCAAGCCAGGAAGAAACTACACCACCTGCCCGGTAGCCAAACACGGCTAGTTCATGGGCCACTTTATTACACTCGCGCTTACAAAAGCTAAACACGAAAGATTCAAAGTTCCCAAAGCAAAGACTGTGAGACTCCCTCAGGAGCACGCCAATCGTTGAACGATCATACTCATCAGAGTTGAGAGCATTAACCAGGACAGAGGAGTCTGACTCAAACATCACCCTATGAATGCCCAGTTCTGCAGCAGCTTCAACGGCCCTCACACAGGCCGACTTCTCAGCATGCAGCGGCCCAGCCATGTGCTCCAAATATCCTGAACGTGCAACTAAAAATTTCCCCTTGAGAGTTCCTGACAACACAGCCCCAAGCGCCCCTGCCAGTCTCCGCATAAAAAGAAGCATCAAAGTTAACTTTGTGTGTGTTATCCGGGGGTCTTTGCCACTGGAGTATTTGCTGGCTAGCAACAGAGGCGTTCGCAACCTTCATACCAGCTTTGAGTTCTTGAATGTGCTGCCTGATCGAATAAACTATATCATCAGCCGATCTCAGCTTGCCCCCAGCATTCACCTTATTTCTGGCCGATCACCCCTCCCACAGCAGGACAAAAGCAACATCACTCTTATGCGCCACAAGGGTCCATAGATGTTCAAAAACCACAGCTGCGTTCTTACACTGTAACAGAGCTAGCCTGGGATCTTCCATGTCCATGTCACTCCATATCCTTCGGACAAATTTCCACTTTAGAAACAAATGCCCTCCATCTTCATCCAGGCGCATACACACAGGACATCTAGTATCAAGCTCCTTTTCCTCTGAGCATTCATGCAAAGTGGCAAACTCTTATGTGCTAGTCGCCACAAGAAGATACATACCTTCCCTGGAAATGCTGATTTCCAGATTCTATCCCACTTCATGCTACCTCGGCCACCTGCCGACGAGGAGCCCACCTGGCTCCTCCTCTTCGCATCTCACAAGTGTGCTCCCAAATGGTACGTAGAGCGGACTGAGAAATGACCCTTAGCATCAGGATGCCAAGCAAAGTGATCCGCCATTCCTCCTGTCAATGGTATTTTCAGAATGTCCTTCACGTCCTCGGCACAGAAAATGCCATGTAATAACGGCTCATCCCACTGCTCAGTCACAGAGTTGATTAGATCGCAGACCTTGGTGATCACCACGTTACCTCTGAAAGAAGCTGGCCTTCGAGTCTCATCATCCCACACTTAAATTCCCTCACATGTCCCAACTCGCCATATAATTCCTTCTTTTAGCAAGGCGATTCCCTTTAGGATGCTGCTCCACATATACGAAATACCGTCGCTTTCAGTGGCCTCCAAAACCGAGCAGTTTGGGTAGTACCACGCCTTCAGGACTTGAGCACATAGCGTGTCTGGTGCTTCCAGAAGTCGCCATCCCTGCCTAGCTAGCATTGCCATGTTGAAAATATGCAAGTCACGGAAGCCAAGTCCACCATCCTTCTTTGGTCTAGTCATCTTCTCCCAACTGACCCAATGGCATTTGTTCATTTTATCTTGCTGACTCCACCAATACCGCGCAATTAGTGCACTGATTTCTTTGCAAACTTGCTTAGTGAGATCAAACCTCGACATGGCATAGGTCGGGATCGCGTATGCAACCGCCTTTATGAGCACCTCTTTCCCTGCTTCCGGTAGTAACTTTTCCTTCCATCCTTGAATCCTATGCCATATTCTCTGCTTCAGATATTCAAACTCTTTGCTTCTGGATGCACCGATATGTACCGGGAGGCCCAGGTACCTCTGGTTATGTGATTCTGTTGCAATACCCAAACTAACAAGAACATCCGCTTTTGTTGCCGCACTTGTCCCCTTACTAAACATGGCAGTGGATTTGTCCTTGTTGATTTTTTGGCCAGTTTGCTCCTCATATACAAAGCTAAAATCTATTGTAACTTTGCTGCTCCTTGCACATTTGCCTTCATAAGAGAATCGTCTGCAAAGAACAAGTGATTAATCTTTGGTGCACCCCTGCAAATCTGCACACCTTGAATGGTTCCCTCCTCCTCTGCTTGCTGCAACATTGCGGAAAACGCTTCAGCACACATAATGAATAGGTACGGGATAGAGGGTCCTCTTGTTGGAGACTCCTTTCAGGCACAATTGTCTCCTATAAAGCCCCTAATTTTAACTCGGTACTTAACGGACTCTTTCCAAAAAGCTCCATTCCACCCGGTCACAAGTCTTGTTCATGTCTAGCTTGACTGCAACCAGCCCCACACGACCACCCTTTCTCCTATGCATCAGTTGAGTAATCGCGTATGCCAATAACACATTGTCTGTAATCATCCTCCCCGGAACAAATGCGGACTGTGTTGGCGAGATGATTTCTGGCAGTATCTCCTTCAACCGTTTTGCAAGAATCTTGGGAGATAAGTTTGTAGAGTACATTACAAAGGCTAATAGGGTGGAACTCTGTTACTCGCTCAGGTTTTTTCACTTCAGCAGATTTGTTGAAAGAATCATTTAAGTAAGAACAATGCTGCCAGAGTAGATAACAAAAAGCTGACGAGAACAAGACCTATACACAAACAGTCAGATATTTTGTGACATACTGGTCAGTACCACATTACATAATAGGATACACTAATACAATACACAACACTGGAAATACAAAATACACTTATACAATACAGAACACTGGAAATACAAGTCTGGCAGCTTTCATAACGCCTGAGCACAATCAAACTTCCTCACTTCCCTCCATTGAGATCCACAGCTTGTCTTGAACCAGACGAGACCAAGCAACTGTGATTTCCAGCTCAGAGTCGCCAAGGTGACACACATCCTGAGTTATATTGCAATTCTGGGCCTTGATGGATACTTCACCTTTGATAGCCCCAGACTGCGAGTTAGCATATATGACAACTTCAAGCGTTCCACATAATTTTACAGAGACAACATGCCTTGACAGATTAAGGTAACCCTTTGAACAACTAGTCATTGCTCCATCTTGAAGCACAACTTGCCGAAATAAAGGGTGAGTACTGTTAGGCAACCTGCCTTTCCGAGGCCTGCTTTTCCGAGGCAGAGAGAAGCAAACAACTCTGCCACCGTTTTTGAAAAGACTTGGTGTCTCTTCAGGAACACGGAGACGGATACCCACGATAGTAGCCTGGATTGATTCATGAAGTTCCTCTGAGCTTAACACCATTGTGCATAAGCCTCCGACAAGAGGGGTATATAGAGTACATGACACATTACCGCTGTAATACCAGACACGAGTCATCAACGCAATATCTTCAGACTCTGTTCCACCCTTCACTTTGAGCTTGATTTCCACATGAACAGGTTCCTCACATACAATTGCACGAGACGGGCCAGTCAAGTGCAAAAAAGGATCCTGCATTCACCATTCATTAATCAGTTTTGCTAAGCTAGCAATTTAGTAGGCAATCGCTTGATATGTGTTCTTATCAAGATGTGTATTTCTAAATGCATCAGTCATAACTAATTAACTGACCAGGAAAGATAAAATAGAAAAAAAATACTAAACAGACCTCTGGATTGAGTATTTGGCAGTTATTCCTTCGACGGGAAAAGAGTATGTTGCGATTGTGATCCACGGCATCTCTTGCAGCAATCACGCCATACACTTCCAGTGGCAACTTCAAGCCTGGAACATCTTCTATATCTTTAACTTCGATGGAGTAAATCTGCAGAGTGCTAGCAAAGAAAGCAGCAGATGGGGTGTTTCCTGGTGTACTGTGTGTAAAGTGCATAGGACTCAATGAAGCTGCAGCCATCAGAGGGGAAGACATTAGAGACTATGTATGCAGTATGTTGATACATGCAGTTGGAAAGAAGAAACGAATGAACAATGAGCAGATATATGGCGTGAATGAATGTTTACTCACTCGTCTCTGTGAAGGTACCGTATAATCTGGACCAATTTATACCCAGCCACGACGGTACTCATCAAAGAATTCCTCAGCCTGTCTATTGTGCATCACGGCCTTCCTGAGCTTCTCTTTAGCTTTAGCTCCCATCTCCTTGGTTTCCTCTATCTCCAATTTTATCTCTGTGAAAGTGGAAATCTTCGGCGACACCTCGCACTTCCACTTGGCTGCCTCCAGAGTCTCCATGGAAATTATTTGTCGCGTCTCGTCCACCTCGTCCGATTTGATTCTGGTTCTTAACCTGATTTTAGTCATGTTGACCAATGACTCGTTGAAGAGCTTAGAGAACGACTGAGATTTGTAACTAAGATCCAACTGGGAGCAAAGCTGATCTAACCCGTTGAAGATTGCATTCAATCCATATTCGTAGTAGGTCGGCCCCTGCATCTTGGTTGCTGATCCACTTTTTTCTTCAGTCCTAATCTGAATCCCTTCCACACCGATCTTCTCCGAGACTGGCTCTTTGCCCGGAATCTCAGTATTCTGCACCTTCTCCATCATCTGCAGCAATTTTGTCACTTCGCTGCACATGTTATCCATGTGGATCTGGACCTCGTCACTGCTGTAGTCGCTAATCCTCAGCTTCGGCTCGGCTTTCAGCTCCGTGACGCTCTTGGAGATACGACTGAGTAAGGAGTAGATCTCAGCCCTAACCATCTCCGTGGCCGACTGAGTCTCTGATTTTGTCCCCTCGTGCTTCCACCTCAAGATCTCTGACAGCATGTTCTCCTTCATCGCCTCAGTTTCCCCCATCTCCAATTTTGTGTCAGCGGAAGCGGAAATCAATGCCGCAACCTGACCTGTCTTGTTGGCTACTTCAATCTCCGATTTTGTCTCCCGATGCTTCCTCCTCTGGATGTCAGCACTATGGCCGATGCAGTTTCCAGATTCACCACTCTCGCCGTTCGCCTCCCCTTCCATCTCCACCTCACGAGGCCGCTCTCCGCTCTTTGTCTTCGCCGCCAACCCCGTCGCCCTTCTTTCTTTTCCTTTAGATTTTTTTTGAACATTTTTCCTTTAGATTTAGATAGAGCAAGAGACGGTCTTTGCTAGGGTTTCGGCGAAAAGATGGGTGGGGGTGTACTCTATATTGCATCTCAGCCTCGGCCCGGTCCAGTAGATGGAGACATACCGACAGGAGGCTGATGCGCGCAAATTCTATATCTCGCTCAACGCAAGCTCGAAGCAAGTCTCGCCTGAAGGTTTTACCCTCATGTAGTTTACTAGGCCGACCCGTTTCCGTTTGTTTTTCTCGTCCGCTAGCTCTCGACTTTTCCTTCGCATGGGTGGGTTTTTTTTCCTTTCTTTTCTGTGTATTCGTTGGATTGGTCCGGGTTTAATCGGTTTTCTTATGGTTTTCTTTCAAGGATACGTCAAGAATGACGTATCGAGATCATAGATAGAAGATGCTAAGATGGCAGAACATTTGTTTACAACAGATTACCGACGACTGCACCAGACAAGACACCGCATGCTGACTGCTCGCTACTACTCAACCGATCCACTCTAACAGGAAGCAGTTCCGATGCCCTCCAGTTTTGGCCCTTTGCGTCGATTTTCTCAAGCACCGTGTCAGCAGAGGGTAGGGGCCATGCGCCGTTGAAGGCGATGTCGTTCCTGTATTTCCACAGGGTCCAAGCCACCAGCGTGATCACCGTCCAAGCTTCCTTCCTCTTTTTTTGTGTATGTTCAGAGATATCCACCAGTTCGGCCTCTTGGTCTGGCGTCCAGTGAGGCTTGCCCTAATTGTTTGTGATGACCGAACAGACCTGTCGAGCGTGTATGCACACAAGTAATAGATGTCGATCGTCTCGGGCGCCCGGTCATAGAACGGGCATGTCGTCGGATGTGGCAGCAGCGACGCCGTTGGTCGTCCAACATCGTTTCTTTGCCGCAAGCTAGGAAAAGACCTTCATGTTGATGGTGCCCTCGATTTCCAAATTTTCGTGGCTCCTGCAACCTCAGTCCTCCCAACAAAGTGTCCACGGTAAGCTGATCGTGCGAAAAACAAACCATTTCCTTCCCCAATCCAAGCGATCATGTCTTTGATTCCATCCACTAGATTCCACGTTTGAAACTCAATTGACTAATCTGAGGAACTCATGTATTGCCTGCTCAGACATATTAGGCGGTACGTCGCGCCACCACTCTCTTGATATAGCTTGGTTCACCGTCCTGACCTTGATCGTGGTCTTCTCGACCACACCGAACAAGCTGGGCATGATATCCTGGATGCGCCCCTCCCAAAGCCACTAATCTGTCCAGAATAGAGTTGTGGACCCGTCGCCAATGGTGCACTTGATGGCTGCTTTGTAGATGGACGTCGAGTCCGATGAGACTTGTATGTTGAATTCACACCATGGTCTGCCTGGGTTAGTCTGTGCAAGCCATGGCTATCGCGATCTCAGAGCCGTGTTGAGTAGGCGCAGGTTGGGCACATCGAGGTCGTCGTACTCCTTTGGTAAGCAGACATGGTCCCAAGCCACCAAGCAGTGCCCTCCATGCACGTCCCGGTGGCCCTTCCATAGAAAACTTGTAACGCCCCGGATCCGATGCGCCAGGTGTCTGCCAGTTATTTGCTGTCATTGCCATGTCATTCGCTTGCGTGTTGCATTTTATCATGTCATCATGTGCATTTCATTTTGCATAAGTGTTCGTTTCATGCATCCGAGCATTTTCCCCGTTGTTCGTTTTGCAATCCGGCGCTCCTATCTCCTCCGGCGTTCCCCTTTTGTCTCTCGTTGTGAGCGGGTGTTAAACATTCTCGGAATGGACCGAGTCTTGCCAAGCGGCCTTGGTATAGCACCGGTAGACCGCCTGTCAAGTTTCGTGCCATTTGGAGGTCATTTGATACTCCAACGGTTAAACGGGTTAACCGTAAACGCCTCCTTCTCTTGGCAGCCCAACACCCCTTCCAAAGTGTCCCAAAGCCCAGCAAACTCCCCTCCATGCTCTTGGTCGTTCGATCACGATCGCGTGGCCGAAAACCGCTCCTCATTTGGACTCTCCTAGCTCCCTCTTCCTATAAATAGGTGTCTCCCCCGGAATTTTCGCGCAGATGAACCCTAGCCTCTTCCCCTGCGCGCCGCCGGACATGTCCGCCCGGCGGCCGGACACGTCCACCGCCCCGTAGCCATGTCGCCCCGGCCAATCGCGGCTCGCCACCTCAGCTCCGCCGCCGCCTCTCCCAATCCCACCGCACCACCTCACCCTCTCTCTCTCTCCACCCCGCCGCCGACCCGCGCGGCCCGGATCGGGCCTGCGGGGCCCATCCCGCCGCCGCTGCCGTCCGCCCGCTCGGCCACGTTCCGGCCCGCGCGCCCGAGTCCCATGTCGGACCCCGCCGCCTAGCTCGCCGGCGCCGCCGCGTCTCCCCGCCTCCGTCGGTCGCCCCCTCGG